TGATGCTTCCTGCATTGTTCAATATTTTGTCCACAGAATACTTTAAAATTGCAACTTGTGGCTTGAATTTTTTCTTCACTTCCTTCCTTCCAGTTTGAGAAATGCCACACATGTTCCTTCCTTTTGATTTTCTAACTCCAGGTCTTAGCACATTTCATTACAATACTTGACTCTGACTTCTCAAAACATTCTATGAAATCTTCTGTTCAAATCTTTTACTTTATCATTTCTTCCATTAGTGTTAGCTACTCTCCATTCAAGAACAAGTTGCAAAGTTTCTTCTGACATTCATTTTGGTCTTTTCTTTCTTTCCTTTTTAATGACCTTTTGCTTTCCTCATATATGTTCTTGATGTCATCCCACAACTCACTGTTCACTGACTTTTAAACAAATTTATTCATGCAGCTAAACAAATGGCTTTCTTTGTGATCAGGCAGATGTGGACAGACTGTATTCTCAGAGGGTCTCAATGCAAGACCCTTATCAGAAATATCCTGTGCAAGCAGATGCCAGCAATTTATGTGCCTAAGGGCTATCTTAACATCTTATGACTTGTGAAAAGACATCTTGTGACATCCTGATGAATACCCTAAGCCCACCCCCTTCAAAATCACTACTTTTGCAATCCCTACAACTGTAAACCAATCCTAGCAAAAGCCCCACTTGAAATATTCTACCTTTCCAATAAAAATACTGTAAACTAAAGTTCCTGATTTAACTCTATAAAAATGTGTTTCTAGCTGGTAGGCTTCAGACTGCTTAGTTTCACTTTTTGTGTTCCACACAACTCCTAGCGTAAATCACATCAAGCCTTAATAAACCTCTTTCTAACAGAGTATGAATTTTTCATTAAAGCTACTTTTCTACAACTACTATCCTAATTATGCTGTCTGGGGACATAAACAACTTTATCGTAAGAAGTGAAAGTTCTCTCATATGCCCACATAAACCAAAACCAAAACCAAACCCACTGTCATCAATTCTCAGTCATGGCAACTCCATGTGCTAGAGCACAACTGCTCCATAAGGTTACCTTGGGTAATTTTTATGCCAGGACTTTCTCCCAAAGGACCACTGGGTGGGTTTAAACTGTCAACCTTGAGGCTAGCAGTTAATACCAAGTTCTTATACCACAAAGGGACCACACAGAGTTACAGAAAAATTCTCATTGACCAAATTAATTTTTAGAAATATCTTTAAAAAATATTAGCAAAATAAACAATTGCTGGTTTTAAGATATAACAGACTTAAAGAGGAGTCCCTGGGCGGTGCAGTTAACCAGCTTGGCTGCTATGAAAGATTGGGAGGTTAACAGTTCTCCCAAAGACACCTCCAAAGAGCCAATACACTTCCAAACAATCAGCTATTGAAAACTCTACCCAGTTCAACACTGATACATCTCAGGTCGCTGTGAGTAGGAAATCAACTTGACAGCAACTGGTTGTGACCTCTGAACTGTAGACACTTCAAGGCAGAGGATGTTTAACTGGAGTTGAATAGTCAGAAATGGCTCTTCTGATAAACAAATAACATTTTAGGTATGTCCCTATTTCATATGAAATACTGATTCTAAACTATAGCTAAAATATGTGGAGAGATCTGAGATTGGGTAACTTAATTCTAGAAAAATACTTTAATTGAGGATAAGCTGTAGTACACAGGGAATCCCTGGGTGGAACAAACAGTCAATGTTCTGGGCTACTAATAAAAAGGCTGGTAGTTCAAGTCTACCCAGAGGCACCTCAGAAGAAAGGCCTGGTAATCTACTTTCAAAAAATCAGCTACTGAAAACCTTATGGAGCACAGTTCTACTCTGACACACTTAGGGTCACCATGAGTCAGAATCGACTTGTCAGAAACTGGTATGGTTTGTTATTTCAGGGTACATGACACTTAATTTTCTACCAGGATCAAAAGGACAAAAAAAACTGCTTTATAATTTTATTTGGAGCCCAAATGTTTGGGGTTGAGATACCATATGAAAAGTTTTGTTCCCTCTCCTCAAAACAAAACAAAACTCAGTAAGAAAAACAAAAGCCCAAGATAATTTGTTTTCTATACCTAAACGGATGCAAATGACATCATGGAAAAAAAAATTAGAAAGTGAGAAAAGAAACTATGTTTTGATCATCTCATCACAATAAGGGAATACATGAGGACTGATACAGTAATTATAATATAAAGCAGTGAAAAAACAGTGATCTATTTTGACAGTAGTGAATAAAGGGTAACTCAATTTGGTTTGCTAGAGTTGAAAATACAAAAAGAACTTACCTATTAAAGGGTATGCTGTGATTTTAAATGTCCTAAGGCTCAGGTTTAAGTAAATTTTAAATAACCAAAAATATGCATCTTGAACTCAAGTGTAAACTGTGTATTCTGAAGTAGAAGAGCCTATAAATTTATAAGATTTGAGTTAACAACTCAACATAAAAAGATAGATTGCATAATATATGCCTATTTATACTATTAAAAAAATGAGATCTTAGTTATTCCTTTCTGAATTTCAAAGTTTGTATTAAAGGCTGCAAACTTTGTACTCTTCATTTTTTTAGTAAAAAGTTGAATGCTTTCTATCATAAAATGTTAAGAAGGAAAGTGTAATAATCATCTAAGTTGAGAATCAGAATTAATTTTATAATTCTAACAAGCATTCACTCTGAGTTAAGCTTTTCCAAAAGGTAGTCTGAAGTATATAAATACTGCAGCAAACATTCACCTAAATGTTTCATTTTCTCCATAGCCCAACACAGGCAAAGATGGTAAATAAATAAATAAATCCATTCCACATTAATTTGAAGTCTGACTTTTAGGCGGAAGTACATTCATAGAGACATCATAAATACCCTAATAATAGGAAAAGGAGGGCTGAGTAATAAAGCTGGATATTTCAGCTGGAGACATCCTAAGCACAGGGCAAAGTTTAATAACTAGCTCAGGAAAGTGCTCTCATCAAAGGAAAAGAAGCACTTGGTGAGGGCAAAAACTCCCACCAGATCCTAATATGCAAGTATACTTCATTTCTCAGAGCTGGCCACATCTTAACACTTTCATTGCCACAAACCTGACCCTATTTGAAGAATGTCAGATGGAATCCTTTCTAAATTTAATGGGAATCAATGGCAAAACAGGATTCTGATTTAAAAAATTCCTTTTATAGTTAGTTTTACAGGTACAGATCAATGCCGTTAAAATTTTAGTGTGCAAAATTTACATACCAAAATAATTTTAACAGTTATTTTTAAAGAACTGTTATAATCCTAACTGAAAAAAAATAATCTTAAATCTATTTTGTCCTTTTCTCCTATTTAAACTAAAACTTGGTTGAATTTTCTGACATGCAAATTTAGAGAACCAAAATTCAGTCTGAATTTGCCAAAAGTCTAATCCTTGTCAATTAACATTTTTTTGAGAGGTGTTCTACTCATTCCTAATACAAATTTGCTGAAAATAATTGCTGAAGAAAACAAGTGAAAAATCCATTTATTTTTTGGACTTTTTTTTTTTTTAATTCTAAAACCTTTCAAGGTTTGTTACATCATCTATATTGGTAAGTTAACTTCATGACTGTTAATAAGAAGTGATATATTTTAAACAAAGAAGTGTCTGTTATCTTCTGCAAAATATCAACCAATATTATCTTTACTACAAGGTTGTTTTGTTACTATCCCCCCCTTCTCTTCACTAATAATAAGTCAGTTTTTTCCAACTGCTTTCAAGGAAACTTTTCCTTAATCTTTAAAAAAATCCATTAAAAAAATTGTAACTTAGGATATCCCATTCTCTAAAAGTCAGCATTTAAATCTAATCTTCTGAAAGTCCAGACTGTTATTGACCTAGAATTATTCTTCTCCACTTCCCTAAATGTTTTAAACTTATGCAGATTAGTTGATGATTCTTCTAAGGATTACAAGAAGTGATACTGGCACACATACTATAGATTTTAACGGCACCTGAGTGATAGTGCTCTCCTATTATTTTCAGTCTCTTATATTCTGGAATTTAAAACCAACCCTTAAATAGTAAAAAAACTAGAACATAATCTAATACAGATTCAATCACATTCAGTACATTCTGAATGCAAACACTTCTTTTGTAATCTAATTTTAGTTTAACGGACATTGTTTAATACAGTGTCTCTCAGACCTGACATTATGTTGTCTCACTTAAAAAACTGCCTTACACTTCTATTTTAAGTTACCCTGTTCCCCACTCACTATAACACATATAAAATAGTCTATACATGCCCCTTTTTCCTTTTAGAATTTGACAAACAAGTAGTTTCCACCACCGGAAGTAAATCTTTTTATATCACCTTCCTCCTCCCCAAAGCATACCAATATGATAATGATCAAATTAGGAAACCTCACATCTTCTAAAGTATGTGCTTTTTTCTCTATACGTAAGTCCCCACTATATAACCTGTCAATGAGACTTCCATTTCGTATCATTGCATCTATGTATTTGCCTCTATAGAATTTACTTTAGTCTCCTAAGACTCTTGTCTTGAATACTTAAAAATGTCAATAACCAGAGTTCAGAGAAAAGCAGTTACCTTCTTAAGACCACATTACTGGATAAATGGTCTTGTCAATATGGCTTAACATTAATATGGCTGTAACAGAGGGACTACTCCCCACTTTCTTAATAGTGTGACCTAGTCATAATTTTTTCAAGTCTAGACTAGTTTTCTGTATGTTTTCCATATTTTATTCTGACATTATATCTTTTAAAAACAAAACGGTGCAAAACATTTGCACATATCAATGTTTTTTTCTTCAAAGGTGATTTGATGTCTTTTCTTCAGGTATTCTGTCACCAAGAACCAAGGTCTGATTTTGAACTGCCCATTTGTTGTGACAGTATTAGAAAGGTCTCTTCAAAGCAATACTCCAGTTGGGCTTAATCACTGATTAGCGGCATAATTTCCTCTAGGACACTTGTAACAGACAAAATATACATAGGTTTTCAATTTGGGGTTTGTTTGTTTTTTTCCCCCCATAGGTGTGTTTCCTGCTTCTCATTCATATTTTCTTTTCTTTGAATATATTGCACGATATTTTATTATTAAAAAAGGTTTTATGTCTCAGGCAAAAAGTTTTTTCCCCTTTGCTTGGGAAGTGCTAATGCGTATTATTTTCTAAAAGAGGTAAGTGGTTGTCTGTGTGGCCATCCTCAAAGGGGACCTATGGGGGGAAAAAAAAGACCAAAGCATTAGTTTTATTCCTTGCACTATTTCCTTTAAAGACAAAGATTTATTTTGGACAATTTCTTTCTGGGCAACAAAAGCTACTATTTTTAAAACTTAACCATGAAACTTTGGCTTACTACTATTTATACTACAGCACTTACAGAATTGACAGGTTTGTAGGCTCCAAGCCTGAAACGACAGCAGATTATTTCAACTATAAATTTTCCAATTCCATGTAACATGCCTGTAATAAACAAGTTTATACAATACACACCATCAGAAAATAGGCGGATGCTTTCAATTAAGTCATTTTCTAAACTTCTATGTAAGAATAAAAAGGCCAATTAACTAATGGAATAGATCAAAGAAACAAAAGTTCACTTCCACGGCTGATAATAATAAAGACTGTTAAATTTTCAGACAAATGGACTTCTTTTTGAAATCACAAGGCCACAGAATTCATAATCTTGACAAAGTTATCTTATCAAGGGTGCTAGCTGAATATATTACACACCCACACAATTAAAGATAAATAAATAAATATCAATACCACAAATTTAAATGAAGCAGTAAAAAAAACTTTTATTCAAAAAGCTATTTATTCATTTAAAGAACATGATTTAAAGTATGTAAATTAGGGGCTGAAGATGAAGAAGAAACTGTTCCCTTTGTATTGTACTTAACTCTCAAATTATGATGACTATAATTCTGCAAGTAATCTCTGAGACAATCCCAGAATCTCAGATCAAAAAAGTAGTAGCAATCATCTAATTTAAAATCCCACAGGAATTTAAATCCTGTCTCTTCAATACCCCAGTCAAATGATCATGTAATTCTGCTTAAATTGGTCTATTCAGTGATGAGGAGAGTAATTTGTAATCTCTTGTACGAAAGAACTATAATTTAGTAATTTTATTGAAAGTTAGGAAATTCTGTTTTGAATTCTCTAATTTTATTCCTTAAATATTCCATGTTCCAATTCTAGGTAAGAAACTTAGGAAATATAAAAATAGTATCGATGGAATAAATCTGATTTTATATTGCATTGTTCAAGGCATCATAAGATCAGATTTGATATACCCACAGTTAAAAATACACAAAGAACAAAATTTTTCTTTCTGGGAATTTTCACACGTAGTCCTATACCACATTTGCAAATTAGGTATTATTATTCCCATTGTTGGGAGCTCTGGTAGCATAGTGGCTAAAGCACTTGACTGCTAACCAGAAGGCTGGCGGTTCAAACCCACTGGCCACTCCTTGGAAGGAAGGTTGGGCAATCCTACTTCCGTAGTGATACTGCCTCGGAAACCCAAGGAGGGGTCGCTATAAGTCGGGGCCGACTCGACGGCACATAACAACAACAAAAACATTCCCATTGTTATAGATGAGGAAACAGTCTCAAAAAAGGTAGGTTATTTATCCATGACTACCACCAAGTAAATGGTTGACCTTGGATTAAATTCTCATTCTGTCTGATGCTAAAACCCACTGATGCCTGGGTTTAATCATGGCATAAACTGCAATCTCGCTCAAGTCAGTGAATGCAATGAACTGAGTTATGTTTAATGCATTATCAATATAATTTGGAGTCTTGGAATTAAATCTTAAAGAAAATGTTTTTTAAATATAAAAATATAAGAACATGTATATATCTTTCCCCTTTTAGTAAAAGTATCCTGATTTAAGCACAAGCAATACTTTTAGAAATCAGACAAAATAAGAAATGATTGTTAACCTGTTGTTGAAAAGATTCCTCCAATAATACCACAGAGTCTTACAAAGAACTGCCAGAATGGCATATGCTCCTCAGTCACTGTCACCATAAGAGAACTGAGATCATATTTCATAAATATCCCAGAGACTCCATGGCTGCCTGCAGCATGGTTAATGACACGCTCCTAAATGGAAGGCATAAGGAAAGGGGGAGACAGGAAGAAAAGAGATGAAATTCATATTATTTGGTTACTTGTATACAGTCAACATTAAGCTCCTCAGCACCCCAAGTATGGAATATTCAATTTTCTTTAGGAAGGTCCTACTGGACTAAGCCTTTCAGAGACAATCAAATTATCCTCTTTCCTTGTGTGGTGACTTTTTGAAACTATCAAAAGAGGAGAATTATTCTTACTTGACTGCTAACCAGAAGGCTGGCAGTTCAAACCCACCAGCCACTCCCAGGAAAGAAGGTTGGGCAATCTACGTCTGCAGTGATATTGCTTTGGAAACCCAAGAAGGGGTCGCTATGAGTGGGATCTGACTCGATGGCAATGAGTTTGGATTTTTTTTTTTGGTATTTTCTCCAAAAAGTCAGTTTCTATATAAGTTTTACACTGAGATCATGAGCTTAGGACTGTATGGCACTTTTTTTATTGAGCAAATCAGTGAAAACTAAATTTATATTTTGACATAATTTTTATAAGATTTCTTTGCTAGGTATTTGTATAATAATTGTATTTACTTTTAGTCATTTTAATATTCAAATTTAAAAATAAATCATTTCACTTCCTATTGTTCCTTTTAAACTAATGTAAGATATAATACTGGAAGAAAACAATGTACTGATTTGAAGGATATCAATATTTAGCTGTTAGTTCAGTTTAAAAAGGAATTTTTTTTCTTTAAAGGAATGCAACTAACATTAAAAACCTACCACAATGTATATATGCTGGTTACACTTCAAAAATTAAGTTTGCAAACTTTTAAACAAATTTCTCTAAGTGCTTTAAACAACTTTGCTACAATGCTTTGTTATGACTTTTGAGCCAGTGCCTACCTATTTTTACTAAGATCTAACTATACTTCAGGCTTGAAGAATCCAAGTAATAAAGCCAACTCTAACCAAAGGAAATTAAAACAATTTTTGGTGGAGCATTACAAAACCCCTTCCTCCATTAGCAAAACAGAACTTTACAAGCCACTGATCAAGCTTCCAATAAAGCAGCTTTATATTAAAGCTCTGAAATGCCAGTATCATGCCAGAGTGACACTGCCTTGGAAACCCAAGGAGGGGTTGCTATGAGTGGGATCTGACAAATACACTGTTACC